GCTCCTGCCTCTCACAACTACTGGATCACAATGACATGGCCTTGGATGCACTGGAAGAAAATCAGAATGCAGATGTAATATACACAAACTTTGCAAAAGCGTTTGACAAATGCGATCATGGCGTAATAGCGCACAAAATACGTGCTAAAGGAATAACTGGGAAAGTGGGGAATAGGGGAATTTTTTCCTAACAAGTGAACAAAATAGGCAACAGGAGTTAGAAATGGGGTGCCATAGTGAAGAGCCGTCCCGACAGGCTCGTTCCACGGTCCTTTGGCCCCTTGTTACAACAAAAACGACATAGATCGTGGATATAACGAGGACTATGGCAAGTTGCAGATCCGAAATTTAAACCTCAAAATTATAAACAAGACTTTCACAGTGGGAAGTTAATAGATATGCAGTTCATGGAAAAGTCCAATCAGTTTAATAAAATGGAGAGCAAATTCTAAATGACATACATACCTGCCATAAAATAAAATAAATAAATAATTGTAAGGTTTAGGAGTTGGTTAGGTCTATCTCAAGGATCACAGCATCAGATTCGCGTGCAAAAAAACTAATAGAATCTGGATTCATATCAAGAAGATAAATAATAGGATCCTCAGGTGTTCTTCAAATCCTTATATCAATCCTGGTTAGGCTCTTTAGATTAATCTTGCACAGTTTTGTCACCGTACTACAGAATGATATAAATTCTCTGAAAATGTACAAAGGGGATGACAAAGATGATCCCATGTATCAGAAACCTTCCCTATGAGGATAGACTAAGGGCCCTGAAACTGCACTCTCTAGAAAGACGTAGAATTAGGGGGGATATGATTGAGGTGTATAAGTGGAAGACAGGAATAAATAAAGGGGATGTAAATAGTGTGCTGAAAATATCTAGCCTAGACAGACTCGCAGCAATGGTTTTTAAGTTGGAAAAATTCAGATTCAGGAGGATATAGGAAAGTACTAGGTTTGGTAATAGAGTTGTGGATGAGTGGAACAAACTTCCAAGTACCGTTATAGAGGCCAGAACGTTGTGTAGCTTTAAAAATAGGTTGGATAAATACATGAGTAGATGTGGGTGGGTGTGAGTTAGACCTGATAGCTTGTGCTAACAGGTCGGTTGCCGTGTTCCTCCCTTAAGTCAATGTGACCTGACCTGTCTAGGTTGGGTGCATTGGCTTAAGCCGGTAGGAGACTTGGACCTGCCTCGCATGGGCCAGTAGGCCTTCTGCAGTGTTCCTTCGTTCTTATGTTCTTATGGATCTTCAACTTCCTAACAAATCGAACACAAAGAGTAGTGGTCAACAGAGTTAAATCGGAGGCTGCCATAGTGAAGAGCTCTGTTCCACAAGGCACAGTACTCGCAGCCATCTTATTCCTTATCCTAATATCAGACATAAACAGAGATATACACCACAGCACCGTGGATGATACTAGGATCTGCATGAGGCTGTCATCTGCTGAGGACGCGGTTAACCTCCAAGAAGATATAAACAAAGTTTTCCAGTGGGCAACGGTAAACAATATGATGTTCAATGAGGACAAATTCCAACTACTCCGTTATGGAAAACTGGAGGAGATAATAACTCGAACAGAGTATACTACTGACTCCGGCCATACAATAGAGCGGAAAAATAATGTAAGGGACCTGGGAGTAGTAATGTCTGAGGATCTCACTTTCAAGGATCACAGCAGTGCCACGATCGCACGTGCAAAGAAAATGATAGGATGGATAATGAGAACTTTCAAAACGAGAGATGCCAAGCCAATGATGATCCTTTTCAAATCACTTGTTCTCTCTAGGCTGGAATACTGCTGTACATTAACATTTCCATTCAAAGCAGGTGAAATCGCAGATCTAGTGTACGGAGATCCTTTACTGCACGTATAAGTTCTGTCAAGCACCTTAACTACTGGGAACGCTTGGAAGCACTTGACTTGTACTCGTTGGAACGCAGGAGGGAGAGATAGATCATAATCTACACTTGGAAAATCTTGGAAGGAATGGTCCCAAATCTGCACACAGAAATCACTCCCTACGAAAGTAAAAGACTGGGCAGGCGATGCAAAATGCCCCCAATAAAAAGTAGGGGCGCCATTGGTACACTAAGGGAAAACACCATAAGTGTCCGGGGCCCAAAACTGTTCAACAGCCTCCCATCAAGCATTAGGGGAATTGCCAATAAACCCCTGGCTGCCTTCAAGAGAGAGCTGGACAGATACCTAAAGTCAGTGCCGGATCAGCCGGGCTGTGGCTCGTACGTTGGACTGCGTGCGGCCAGCAGTAACAGCCTAGTTGATCAGGCCCTGATCCATCGGGAGGCCTGGTCATGGACCGGGCCGCGGGGGGCGTTGATCCCCGGAATAACCTCCAGGTAACCTCAAGGTATACCCCAACGTCCCATTTATTCAACAATCCCCATACCCTGACGTCCCCTTCATTCAATAACCCCCATACCCCGACGTCCCCTTTATTCAATAACCCCCATACTCCAACGTCCCCTTCATTCAGCAACCCCATACCCCGACGTCCCCTTCATTCGACAACTCCCATACCCAGACCTACCGTTTGTCTTCCATTGCCAGTCGTTATGCTATAAATAAAACGAGGTCCCAAAGTTAAAAGTGTCAGATCAACCAGTCTGTGATGAATATATGGGCCCAACATGCCGCCAACAGCAACAGCTGACCTGGCAATACACAGAAAAGCCTGTCCCCGGGCCGGATTTCGCGAGAAGAAAAACTCTGGAAACCAGTCACAGGTATACCAACCTGTCGTTGCCGAGTCCTCAATTACTTAAAGCAGAGCTACCTACCTGGAGCAGCTTTGCTTTCCATATTACAAGAGGGACAAAAAAAATGGAACCCAAAGTATCCGTGAAGGATGGTCAACGCCTCCACGCCCGGCCCAGATCAGAGAATCTTTCCATGAACACAAGACTTAAGCTCCAGATCTACACGCCAGTTTCATTAAAACCGCGGGGAAGCGCTAAACCAGTAAGGATCATATAGTGTTTGAGGTAGATTTGATCCAAGTAAATGCATGGTAACTCCGATTCCTTGAATCAAGCAGGGCCTGCCAAGTTAGCGAGGGGGACAGTAGAACCAGGCTCGTTAGCGGGGGGAGGGGGCAGTAGGACCAGGCTCGTTAGCAGGGGGGAACAGTAGGACCAGGCTCGTTAGCGGGGGGACAGTAGGACCAGGCTCCTTAGCGGGGGGGAGGGAGTAGGACCAGGCTCGTTAGCGTGAGGACAGCAGGACCAGACTAGTTAGCGGGGAGACAATAGGACGAGCCTCGTTAGTGGGGGGACAGTAGAACCAGCCTCGTTAGTCAGGGGAACTGCAGAACCAGCCTCGTTAGTCAGGGGAACAGCAGGACCAGCCTCGTTAGTTGGGGGGACAGCAGGACCAGCCTCTTTAGTGAGGGGGACAGCAGGACCAGCCTCTTTAGTGGGGGGACTCGAGAACCAGCCTCGTTAGTGGGGGAACCCGAGAACCAGCCTCGTTAGTGGGGGGACCCGAGAACCAGCCTCGTTAGTGGGGGGACCCGAGAACCAGCCTCGTTAGTGGGGGGACCCGAGAACCAGCCTCGTTAGTGAGGGGGACTCGAGAACCAGCCTCGTTAGTGAGGGGACTCGAGAACCAGCCTCGTTAGTGGGGGGGACTCGATAACCAGCCTCGTAAGTGGGGGGGACTCGATAACCAGCCTCGTAAGTGGGGGGGACTCGATAACCAGCCTCGTAAGTGGGGGGACTCGATAACCAGCCTCGTTAGTGAGGGGGACTCGAGAACCAGCCTCGTTAGTGAGGGGGACTCGAGAACCAGCCTCGTTAGTGAGGGGGACTCGAGAACCAGCCTCGTTTGTGGGCGGGGGACTGGACGACCAGCATTGTTTGTGGGGAACTGGAGAACCAGTCGAGTTACTTGGGAACTCGAGGACCAGCCGCCTAGTATAGGCCAATGAGCAGTTGGAGCGATAATTTTTATATTTCCTTCTTCCTACCCTCCTCTCTCTCTCTACTTTTTCCCTTCCAGTTGTCCCTTTTGTTAATTATTTTCACCTGGCTGTCCCTTTAGTAAAATATATTTATTCAGCAGTTACTCTGTTAACTCATCTTTCCCCAGTCGTTACTATAGCAACACATTCACCACGCCATTACATTTTTAACATATTCACGAGTCGTTATTTTAGTAACACATTCACGAGTCATTAAACATTTAATCCAAGCCTGCCTTTAGTAGCCATCACACAGTCGTACCTTCACTCGTAACCTCATCCTTGGGTGGCAAGTGTTTTTTTTTTTTTAATACATACTCACGTTGCTTCATCCGGCCCAAATGATTATTAAACCTCTGAGTCATACAGTGCTTGGGGGATGGGTGGTAATCATATTTGATGTGGAGGATGAGCGTGGCTCCAAGCCGTCGAATGAAGAGCCCTTCATTATTAAGGAAATCCCCCACACTCCTTAAAAGGTCCACTTTGCCTCTGAACCAGGCCTCGCTTTCATTCAACTTTCTCCTCCCACCACATCGCACTCCTATCCCCCTTTCCCTTAAACTCTCACCTCTGATAATGAATTAAGTATCAATTCGACCTTATCAATGCCTCCCTCACACAATTAAGTGTCCACTTTGGCGTCTTGCCTCACCTTGGCGTGCCTCCTCCAGCCCGGCCTGGCTTGTGTTTGCCTGTCCATCATCCAGATCTGGAGCCTAGCCTCAAACCTGAGCGCACATAGGCGGTGGTCAGCTATGCTGATGTGATTCGCACATTGTTTCTAGTGAAAGTGGTACTCACAAATATACCCACCGGAACACTTAAAATCACTTAAGTTTGCTGCAACTCGTACACCGTTATCTATAATTTCACTGGATTAATGAACAAGTATTATATTAACGAATGCATAAGTAAACAGTCATTAAATTATACACCTTCAAATAAAATATAAATGAAAGCATTAAAAACGGCATAATTTTTTCTAAGCGCCTACACACACACACACCTCCCACATTGAGCACTCCCAGGAACTGAGTCAGCGCGGCCGGTCAAGCCTTACACCGGGAACCAACCCACTCGCAGTTGCCAAATGCCTCCTCTACCTCAACTGTATTTTTCAAACTAAATAATTTCCTTTCTTAATATCGCACAAGTGAATTAAATGCAAATCCTGGTGAACTTAACAAACACCTATCCATGCAATTACAAAATTAACAACAATATAATATATAGATGTGTGACAACTATGACCACCAGCTGGGAGGAACAGTCTGGGTGAAAAGTTCCGAGGCGGTGTCCACGAGTTGACTTGAGATCCAAATTCTGTTATGAGTAGACTAGTCTACTCCACAGCTCTGTCTAAACACCATCCTAGATAGGAAGTTGTATAACAGAGATATACATCACAGCACCGTATCATCCTTTGCGGATGATACTAGGATCTGCATGAGGCTGTCATCTGCTGAGGACGCGGTTAACCTCCAAGAAGATGTAAACAAAGTTTTCCAGTGGGCAATGGTAAACAATATGATGTTCAATGAGGACAAATTCCAACTACTCCGTTATGGAAAACTGGAGGAAATAATAACTAGAACAAAGAATACTAGACTCTGGACATACAATATAGCGGAAAATTAATGTAAGGGACCTGGGAGTAGTAATGTCTGAGGATCTCACTTTCAAGGATCACAACAGTGCCACGATCGCACGTGCAAAGAAAATGGTAGGATGGATAATGAGAACGTTCAAAACGAGAGATGCAAAGCCAATGATGATCCTTTTCAAATCACTTGTTCTCTCTAGGCTGGAATACTGCTGTACATTAACATCTCCATTCAAAGCAGGTGAAATCACAGATCTAGAGAGTGTACAGAGATCCTTTACTGCACGTATAAGTTCTGTCAAGCACCTTAACTACTGGGAACGCTTGGAAGCACTTGACTTGTACTCGTTGGAACGCAGGAGGGAGAGAGATATCATAATCTACACTTGGAAAATCTTGGAAGGAATGGTCCCAAATCTGCACACAGAAATCACTCCCTACGAAAGTAAAAGACTGAGCAGGCGATGCAAAATGCCCCCAATAAAAAGTAGGGGCGCCATTGGTACACTAAGGGAAAACACCGTAAGTGTCCGGGGCCCAAGACTGTTCAACAGCCTCCCATCAAGCATTAGGGGAATTGCCAATAAACCCCTGGCTGCCTTCAAGAGAGAGCTGGACAGATACCTAAAGTCAGTGCCGCATCAGCCGGGCTGTGGCTCCTACGTTGGACTGCGTGCGGCCAGCAGTAACAGCCTAGTTGATCAGGCCCTGATCCATTGGGAGGCCTGGTCATGGACCGGGCCGCGGGGGCGTTGATCCCCGGAATAACCTCCAGGAAACCAGGTATTATGCAATTCCAGACCTACTGCACTGAAAAACTTCAACTACGCAACTAATGTATCTTTTGGGTTCATCATGTGATACCTTCATTATGCACCCCATATTAATTTTATGATTTATAGTCCATTAATATTATAACCATAACTAAGACCTAAACCCACAAGGGTCATACAGCGCTGAATTTTGATCCAGTGATTGGAAAGGCAGGGTGTCTAATCACAAACGTAATGAATGGACACAATATTAACCTGGAGGTTACCTGGAGGTTATTCCGGGGATCAACGCCCCCGCGTTCCAACGAGTACAAGTCAAATGCTTCCAAGCGTTCCCAGTAGTTAAGGTGCTTGACAGAACTTATACGTGCAGTAAAGGATCTCTGTACACTCTCTAGATCTGCAATTTCACCTGCTTTGAATGGAGATGTTAATGTACAGCAGTATTCCAGCCTAGAGAGAACAAGTGATTTGAAAAGGATCATCATTGGCTTGGCATCTCTCGTTTTGAACTTTCTCATTATCCATCCTATCATTTTCTTTGCACTTGTGATCGTGGCACTGTTGTGATCCTTGAAAGTGAGATCCTCAGACATTACTACTCCCAGGTCCCTTACATTATTTTTCCGCTCTATTGTATGGCCAGAGTTTGTAGTATACTCTGTTCTAGTTATTATCTCCTCCAGTTTTCCATAACGTAGTTGGGAATTTGTCCTCATTGAACATCATATTGTTTACCGTTGCCCACTGGAAAACTTTGTTTATATCTTCTTGGAGGTTAACCGCGTCCTCAGCAGATGACAGCCTCATGCAGATCCTAGTATCATCCGCAAAGGATGATACGATGCTGTGGTGTATATTTCTATGTCTATGTCTGATATGAGGATGAGGAATAAGATGGGGGAGAGTAATGTGCCTTGTGGAACAGAGCTCTTCACTATGGCAGCCTCCGATTTCTGTTGACCACTATTTGTGTTCGATTTGTTAGGAAGTTGAAGATCCATCTCCCCACTTTCCCAGTTATTCCTTTAGCACGTATTTTGTGCGCTATTACGTCATAATCGCATTTGTTAAACGCTTTTGCAAAGTCTGTGTATATTACATCTGCATTCTGATTTTCTTCCAGTGCATCCAAGGCCATATCATAGTGATCCAGTAGTTGTGAGAGGCAGGAGCGACCTGCCCTGAACCCATGTTGCCCTGGATTGTGCAGATTTTGGGAATCCAGGTAATTTGCAGTCCTGCTTCTTAGCACTCTTTCAAAGACTTTTATGATGTGGGACGTCAGAGCTATTGGTCTATAGTTCTTAGCTAATGCTTTGCTGCCACCTTTATGGAGTGGGGCTATATCCGTTGTTTTAAGTGACTGTGGAATTTCACCCATGTTCAAGCTCCTCCTCCATAGTGTACTTAGGGCACGCGAGAGGGGTTTCTTGCAGTTCTTAATGAATACAGAGTTCCAGGAGTCTGGGCCCGGGGCTGAGTGCATGGGCATGTTGTCAATGGCTTTTTCAAAGTCTATCGGAAATGTGGCATACATTTATGGAGTTATAAGGCTCATTCATGAAGATATCATTTGGGTCGTCGATCCTCAGACTGATTAGTGGCTCACTAAACACACAGTCGTACTGGGATTTCAGTATTTCACTCATTTCCTTGTTGTCATCTGTGTAAGTCCCATCCTGTCTGAGTAAGGGCCCAATACTAGAGGTGGTATTTGCCTTGTTTTTGGCATATGAAAAGAAATATTTCGAATTTCTTTCAATTTCACTAATAACTTTAAGCTTCTCCTGTCTCTCCTGGTTCCTTTGAGAGTCATTTAACTTAAGTTCGATAGTTTCCACTTCCCTGGTCAGCATCTCCTTTCGTTTATCAGATATTCTAGCACTCCTGAGGAGCTCAGTGACTCTTCGTCGTCTTCTGTAGAGGGAGCGTCTTTCTCTCTCCAGTTTATTCCTGCTCTTCTTCTTACTTAGGGGAATATGCCTAGAACATGCTTCAGCTGCCAGGAAGTTGATCCTTTCAAGGCACTGGTTTGGATCCAGTGCCTAAACATTTACAATGTAAAAATCTTTAAGTTAAGACATTTGTCTTGACCTCAGTCCAAAGGACAAATATGCACCCCGACATTCATCCTGTGTGAGGTCATTATTGCATAGGCACATTTTTTAATCTTGGGACTGGGCCCCAAAGCTCTACCGAAAGTTAACCCATGAAGAGAGGAACCTCGATGCCGGTGATGGGAGCTCTTAATCAAAGGAACTGGACCTGACCTCGCCTTCCTCGGATCGAACCAGCCTCTCATTTCCCATAATAATAATAATAATAATAATAATAATAATAATAATAATAATAATAATAATAATAATAATAATTTCTTAAAGAAGTGACAAGTTGCCATAAATAATAATTTCAGTTACATATTTTGTAATAATAATAATAATAATAATAATAATAATAATAATAATAATAATAAAAACAAGTTTGATCAACTGTTTTAACACTGTAGCTGTTTATGAACACATACCACAGTCAATGTGCTATGTAGGTACTAACGGGATCAAGTCCTTGGACCAAAAGGGGGTTTGTTGGTTAAGCAAGTTGCAGCTGTGAAGAATGATTTACAATTGGCGGAGTTACAGTATTCAGCTTTTATTTTTCGTAATATGCCAAACATTGATGAAATTTTTTGACATCTCTTGAACATCTGCGAAGTTGTCATAATATATGGCCTATTTCGCAATTAAGTAAATAATGACGCAGTCTCTTAACATTTCTGCTGTCGAAGTTTACAATAGATTATAACGAACGGATGGGACAAATTTCCAAAAGTGAATACAGCCTAGTAGGGAGTACTAGTACTAGCTTCTTCTACTCCATTTATACGGGCCACTGACAAGTGGCTCTTTCTAATATGAGCCAGAGGAGCAACCTGTGGGAAACGCCACTATCCTACGAACAAGCCAATCCACCCTTCACTACGAACGTTGGATTTTTATTGACAAGACCGTCGGTAAAGTGACTGACACCTCAATACTAACGTCAGGTTTTTACTGTGAATTTCCTCAGACATCGTGGCTCTTCGTTTTCTCTTCGAGCAGTACATCATTTACATCACTTTCATGCAGGTCCTATTACGTGGATTTGTTGAAATCAGACTTTGTCGCTAATACAAAGACTGAGATACGACTAAGGCAGGATTTCCTTACCTGTTCACGAGACAAAGACCAGCGATACTGCAAGTGATAATTAAATTTGATTAGAGCCTACCACATCTGTATCGTGAGCATATCCCTTTCTAGTTCTTCATTCTTCAAGTAACAAAAGGCCTAGCACTTGCATTTATTTTTTCATCTCATTCATCTTGTACTAGTCTGGATGAACTCCTCTGAACTTTAACGTTTCAATTTATGGTAGGAAAGGGTTACATACTGGTGCTGCATACTCAAGAATGAGTCACACGTATAAGGTAGTGTTATTCAATTCTGTATCAACTCCTACGAGTTTTCCCCTTCTTTCCTTAACATTACTCTATCATGCTGTATTGCAATATTTTTTTTCTGATGTTGCTCTGGAGTTACTTTCCATTAGCGCTTTTGCTGCCATTTCCATTTCAAATTGCTTTGCAATCTTCCTCCTTACCTGAAAATAAATTCTGCCTCTTCTGTGATTTTCCAATCTCTTACATTTGT